CTTCTCTCTCTCCTCCTCCTCTCTCTCTCTCTCTCTCTCTCTCTCTCTCTCTCTCTCTTTTCTCTCTTTTTTTCTTCAACCATCTGCACATGCATGGGTCCCGGCTTGTCGATTACCGCGTCCCCGTTGTGCACTGGCGACGATCGTCTCACCGCGCACGTGTATTCGTCGAGCACCGGCTGTCTCGGACACCAGATCCCGATTACCGTCAGACATGACCAACGATAAACAGGTGAGTAAACCATCTCCTGTTCTCGTAATGCGAAAACCAAATCCAATGGAAATTTCTGGAATATGTAATCGAACCTGCTGTTCGTATCGAGACATCAGCTTTGGATTGTTAGCCACATCTTATAAGCGAATCGAGGAGATGGAGTAGTCTCCGATTTGACTTGCATCCAGTTATCAAAGAGGCTCTTTATTGCGAACTCTTTGCCAACTCTTTGTGCCTGTGCCACGTTGAGCGAATCGTTTGGTTCTTAAGGCGACTTTAAGTAGACGTATCGAAATCTCGTTTGAATCAATATTTTTTTTTTTTTCCCTTTAACTTAAAATTTTACGTACGTAAATTTTCCTTTGTAAACAATCGATGCGTAGAATGAATGAGGATAAAATATCACAGCTTCATTACCTGCGCAATAACGTAAGCCGCAACGTTACATAATACACCGGTTATTGATTTTGATTACGACGTTGCATATTTAATACACAGGGTGTCCTAGATCTATCGAGGGAGCTCTTATCTACCTTTTCCTTGATCAATTTTAATCTGTTCTCGACAAAGGTAAAACGGTAGTTTACCAAGTTAAAAGCGAATTTAAGCGGATTTTTTTTTAATCTCGACTAGACCTTGATCTTCCATTTCCGAATTGACAATTCAAATAAAATCGCGGATGAAAGATTGAGTCGAATAAAATTCGGGAGGTCCCGCGGACCTCTATTTCCAAGCAAAGAACTTCGGAGTCGATTATTTCGTTGCGATTCTTAGTCTTTCGCAGTCCGCTCGATTCTATTTTTTTTTTTTTTTTATGGGGAAAAGTCGCATAATTCGATCTGTCTCGCCGCGCTACACCGCACACGCCGGTAAAAATACGGTTCACACGAATTCAAAAGATTTCACATTCGCGCCGTCAATTAGCCACGACCGCTTGTGCGTCTCATTGTTGCTTCTTCACGCGCCCGTATGGCGCAACTAAGTGGCATCGGGGAAAAAAGAAAGGAACGTGGACTGAAAAGTCTTTGTTCAAAAAGGGAAAGAAGCGCATCAATATATTCTGCTTTTAGTTTCGAAGCCGAATTAGAGCAGAATTCTGAGCTCGAAATAACGGAACGGGAGGATGCCGCAATTATCGTAGCGTCTCGTGTAACGTTTATCGTGCTCGCTGGTGCGACTCGATGATTCGCCCACGGGGAATACGAGCGCGCGGAAATATTATGAATGTAACACTCGCGTTTTTCGCGAACGCGTAATTCTCGATCGTTGCTTTTATACCTCATTGAGCGCGGTACATTCGCCTCGGAACCTCGCTCTCAGAAGCGTCTGCTGAAAAATGTTGCAATTGTCAGCGAATAACGAGATGTCTGTATTTCCATTCGTGACGTTGATAACTTTCTTTTTCACGGTTTCTGAATAAGAGAGAGTCCTCTCGAAGGATCATACACATGAATGGTATATTTCTCTTTAATCAGATTCTCTTTTCTTCTTTTTTTTTTCCCCCCCTCAAAGTCGTCGCAAATTGCATGCATGTTATATCGATGTGACTTGGTTCTTTTTTTTTTTTTTTTTAATTTGATATTCACAAGATTGCAGTAGCATTTACCACATTGTTCCAACGGGCCCTGTAAAGGGAACAGATAAGCAGATAATGTAAGAGAGGATGATAAAAGTAAATTGATGATATTTACAGTCATGGTTCCGCGGCGTGCGAAGTAGCAAATTTCGGCATGTTTACGGCGTACCAGCCAAGCGGGAAAAATGTTATGATAACATCAAGATCACGAAGAACGCTCACGACTCGCAATTCTGCGCCGTAAACCCGAAGTTCCTGGCTGTGGTGACGGAGGTCGCGGGTGGCGGAGCGTTCCTGGTGTTATCGCTGGATCGCGTGAGTATTATATTCCTCGTCCTCGTCGATTTATCGATTCCTCCTCTGCGCAAAAATAGAAGTATTAGCTAATTACACTGCCAGTCGAGCAAAAAATTCTCTGTGAATGTTTCAATCGTATTACACGTTTTTAGAATAACTTAAAGATATTGCACGATTAATTAGAAATCTTTAATACAACGTAACAGTTGTGTTTTCTTAACACGTTACAGACCGGTCGTCTTGACTTCAACGCCAGTCGAGTAACTGGACACACCGGTCCCGTTTTGGACATTAAGTGGAATCCGTTCAACGACAACATCATTGCGTCCTGCAGTGACGATTGCACTGTAAGAAACATTTTGCATATTAGAAAGCCTCCCCAAAGCTCATGTAAAAATACAGAGATTAGAAAGACAAAATATATATATCAATTATTATATTTAAATTGGAAATAAGATATAGAATTATGAAAGTTCGGATTTTTATATGTCTAGATAAAACTGTGGCATATACCGGATGGTGGACTAGCGAGAAACTTGACCGAGTGGCTGGTGGAGTTGCAAGGACACAAACGACGCGTCGCTTATATCGAATGGCATCCCGTAGCGGAGAACGTGCTCTTCAGCGCCGGCTTCGATCATCTTGTTATCGTATGGGATGTGAACAGATGTGAGGCAGTCAGTGTCATCGATAGGCATCCTGATGTGATTTATAGCATATCTTTAAATCGCGATGGCAGCTTATTGGCGACTACTTGCAAGGATAAAAAATTACGCGTTTTCGAACCGAGATCTGGTATCGTGGTTTCGGTAAGTAAAGATCAAGAACGGCTAAATATATTTAATTCTTGATAAAAAAGAATCTTCTTAAACTACATTTTTTAACATTGAAAAATATAGTAATATTCATCATTGTAAAAAATAACGTTTCTATAAATATATACTTTGATTTTAACAGGAAGGGATATGCCACGCTGGCACGAAAGCCAGCAAGGTGGTATTCCTTGGCAGTTCCGGGCGCCTTTTGACTACTGGATTTAGCAGACATTCAGATCGACAATATGCGATATGGAGTCAACATGACCTAACTGTTCCACTAACGTGCGAGACGATAGATTCGTCGAGCGGAGTGGTTTTTCCGTTTTACGATAATGATACCAATATGGTATTCTTAGCTGGAAAGGTGAGAATATCTGACATGTGTAGCATAAACTATTTTAAACTTAATATATCGTTGCTTTTTTCAGGGTGATGGTAATATTCGGTATTATGAAGTGGTTAACGAAGCACCTTGGATGCATTATCTCAGTCAATTTATATCAGGAAATCCTCAGAGAGGATTAGGAGTAATGCCGAAAAGAGGTATCAGTACCTCTATATGTGAGGTATTCAGATTTTACAAGTTACACGCGACTCGTGGAATGTGCGAACCGATCTCTATGATAGTACCACGAAAGGCAAGTTATCCATTGCTTCATTTTCTTTATCAAATTTTTCGAAGTTATGTATTTAAAAAACTATATATTACATTATATATTACAGAGTGATCAGTTCCAAGAAGATCTGTATCCTGATACGATTGGAACATGTCCCGCATTGTCGGCTAGAGACTGGATCAGCGGCATGAATAGTCCACCGATTTTAATCTCTCTTAAAACAGGTCTTATATTTTTGTATTTTAATATATTGTGAATATCTCATCTGTAAATAACTATAAATGTTATATCACACAGTTTGACGTACCGTCAGAAAGATTCAATTCAAATTTTTTTACGCAAGCCATTCTTTATTTGTTCTTATATTTTCTATTACAGTATGATATATAATAGTAAAATTTTATTACATGTAGACACATTAAAAGATATCATTATTAGGTGGAAGCATCTCTACACATAAACCACGGATATACAAACCACCACAATTGCCTCCTACTACTGATCTAAATAATAAAAAAAAATTTGCATTCTTGTCTACGGAAACGATACCCGATTATAGGCCGGTGGAACTTCACGACATGTCGGAGAAGAGCCAAAAGACATCCAGCAATCAAAGCACAAAGTTCCAGCAACTTCAACAAAAATTTGGGAACGTTGCTATACAGGTACAAGCGAAATATACATTTATATTTTATATATCATTGATTTTTTTAAATAATATACTTCATTTTGAAATATTCTTTTTCTACCAGAAGAATATTATATCATCCTCGCTTAACGACAATAAAGTTATGGAGACTGTGGATGTTCCGAACAACGAAGCGGAACTTCGATTGGCATTCGCTCGCCAAACCGATGAATTGAGATTGGTACGACGGCAACTCGCTAACAGTCAACTACGTGTTAAGGAATTAGAGGACCAAATACGAAAATTACAGCGCCATTAAGACTCGCATACTCGCTTTGCAATATTGGCTTCGAAATGAGATTTTTACAGCTTTACCACTAGATATGATTAGCAACCGGTACTTAAAGTTTACAGAGCATTTACGCACCGCTAACAATATAAATATAAAAAGCCTAAGCTTTCGAAAACTTTGTACTAACACGCTTAGGGGATTTTAGCTTTGTTATATTATACACAAAGAAATATTCGCACAGAGAGAGAGCAATTTTTATTAACTTTTTCTTAGAATATCTACAATTTTTATGTAGAGTAAAATTTTTCGCGTTGATATTGATCACGAGGGAACAGAAAAGAGCTGCATTTGTTACATGAAAATTGTACCTGTTCATACACAATTTAGATAGCGTAAGTTGGATGTTTGCGCGTATAAACCGATATGAGGAATTGTGTATAATATCATTAAGAAGGCAAGATGAACACGATACCTTTAGAGAAGTGGCAGCTAAAAGAATTCATGATGTTAAACAATATATTTTATTTTTTTCGAAAATTCAGAATATATATTGGTACTAGTCTGTTAATTATTTTTTCTATTGTTTCATGTTTATTTACTTATTTAACTTATTTAACTAATATATTGTTTTATCATTAGAGATATAGAAATTTCAAAGAACAGTATTTTTTTGCATATTATCATGTAGATTATTCTTGTTTCTATTATCATAAATTAATTTTTTGCAACATGTAAATGAATCTTATTGGTGAGCTATTGTAATATGTTTTACGAAACTGCTAATGTCGTATACATGCAAATGGACTGAAGCATATTAATATGTTGAGCATTTTTGCTATCGCACATATTTTTCACTGCCATCTACTGCCATGATGTCGATGGCGATAAGATCTCGAAATTTATATGTACAGAAAGTGATAATAAATGTCGCGATTAGAAATTAGCTTAAAAATTTTTTTAATGATGAATATGATAAATGCACAATGTATGTGCATTTAATAAAATTGTTAAACAATATTCAATTAATGCAAACTATATTATATATATGTACGTATATTTTTAAGAAACGCGACGTTTATCGCAATTCAATATCGATTTAATTCATCCGAGTTGACTTAAAAGAGATATGGTAGCAAATGCACTAGAACTCTTGTTTAGCATCAGTCTCATAGCTCTGAAAAGCATACAGAACTATATTTCCGCTTAGTAACAATAATCAAGTCGTATAATCATTTATATACATATATATTTATATACGTATTTTTCATACAATCATGCAATTGTATTGTGAATCGATCAATATAGTACCTGGATGCTACACTTCACATATCGTTCGTGGGCATAAAATTTCCGTGAAATGTAACGAGAATAAGATCTGAAACACTTATTGATACACCAACATGTGACGTAGCATTCCCTAGTCTTTTTTCACTAGTTGTTTATTTTAATTGTCATCAACTTTAATGAGGTAGTTCATTGAAATTTTTTGTTAGAAATCATCACTTTTTCATATAACTTCGAGATGGAGTTACATGTGTTATATTAGGTAGTACGTTTCATAGACAGTAAAAGACAGTAAAGTATATTACGAGGTAGTTTGTAGCTATATTTTCGATATTCATATTTGAAGCAATTTCTATGATATTTGTAAGACAATTTGTTCTCGTGATAGACGTCGTGATGTAACGAGTTTATAAATTATAATTATAATTATAATTATAATTATAATTTCGCTACAAATTATAAATTTATGCAGTATCGTGATGCAGTATGTCTGTATCATGATTTATATGTAATATTTATACATGTCAATTAAATATAATATATCGAGATCATATAAAATCATACATTAAATCGATAGATACCAAAGAACATTATTATCTGGCAAATTATAGGCCGATTTATTGCCAGCATACGCTCGTCTAGAAAACTTATGTACAAGGACAAGATGTATGTATGAAAAATGGCAAGCAGGGATCTCAATAAAAATAAAAGTCACAAAATTGTGTATATAAAAATATTATTAATATAATTAAAAAATTTAATTTATTTGCTTCGAAAAATTTATACATAGTAAAATCAATTTAATTCTTATATTACGTCAGTTCGAAGGCAGTAACAAAGATAAAAAATGCAGTATATATATATATATATGTGTGTGTTTTAATAAATTGTGTGTGTGTGTGTGTGTGTGTGTGTAGTGCGTATGTGTCTTAGTTATACAATGCTCTTAAAATCTTTTATTTATGAGTTAAATGGACGGATATATTTCACTTCAATTCATATTGCGTCTTAAGAAATCATATAACTAATATATATATTATATAACTATATATATGTTATATATCATAATTTATCATATAATATATATAAATATACAAATGTGCTATTATTCTAAAAATATATCAAAAAATTTATAAGGAGGAGAAGGGAAGGGGAGTCTAAAATATTAGCTTTTGAAATTTGTTTCGATATGACGATTAAACGTTAGAAAATTGTTTGCACAAGAATTTGAAAACTAAGAATATAATTTGAGATAGTTCGATAAAATAAATAAACTAATGAAATAATTTAAGTATTTTAATTAGAAGTAAAACAATTTCACATTATGGGAGATAATTTGTGAAAAAGTCTATACCGTTTGAGAACCTTTACATTTACCCACATAAAAAATATTTCACATTCATAATATTCACGTTTGAAGATAAATGTTAAGTTTAGTTCTTCACTAATTTCGATAAAATTAGGCTTATTCGACGCGTTTTTGCACGAAACGAAAGAATCTGGCAGAAAAAAAAGTGTCGTTCTGCCTCGCGAACCAAAATATTAATCGTTATAGTCGAATATTAATTATTAAAATTATTCAGATTAGGAAACCTGTCATACTGACGAAATAGCGATATGAGCATACTTCATGGTCACATGTGAAAAGTGCACAAATTTAAAACGTATATGTACCTATAATGCATCGCTTGGATTTCGAATAAACCTAATTTTATCGAAATTGGTGGTGAGGGGATAAATTTAACATTTATCCGTTTGAAATATCATTGGCAGTGGTCAGAAATTGATCAAAATTAATTTCATATTTAAATACAGTTAAAAAAGAAAATGCGAGAGATTCATTGACAACAACGAGCAACATATTCGTCAGATATTCAGAGAATCTTCTACCTATAAAATAGTTTCCTCCAGGTTACGATTAAGCTTGCTGGTATGAGCCATGTATGCATTACATTCGGTACGAAGGACGTTGCTGAATTGCATCCATCCTCGGAACAGGTGAATACACAGGTGCGATAGGTCAACTTGTCGCCTGGCTGTTTAACATAGTCGCAGTAATTTCCCATGTGCACAGACGAACAAAATCGTTTTGTACCAATGCCACCTGTTTTCAAAAATATAACGTTAACAACATATTTTAATACAACATAGATACAACATAGATATACATATTTTCTCTAAACATTACTACTTTTTCAATTAGAAAATTCAAAAAATGTTGGAAAAAGTTGTTATACTTCCATGTGCAGTATCAGAAAAGCATTTATTGTTTGAAAGTTTGTTTATTCAAACGTTTGTCTATCTCTTTTAGTTAATTCAGATTTGAAAATTAGGACTCCTGAGTAATCCCCACGGCCATATCGGACTCGACTTAAAACCATATCAGATGTTATTTTAGTCAAATATTTCTTTATTTGCAAAACTACCATCATAAACTTTATGGTGTCATTTCTCGCCTATGACGTCACGATTCCAATATGACCGCGTTTTTGTATGTATATGTATATATTTAATAATAATAAACAAAATTGTGATATCCATGACATGCAGGATGCAGAGATTATATTTTATGTGTTCCGTGAAAAATGATTAATATGCACTTTCGAAACATTGATTTTTTTTCAACGAGAAAAGGATGATAAATGATTCTGTACGGGTTGATTTGGAGCACACCCATGCACACTCGACAAAAAAGAATTTTGACATAAGAACCTCCATAGCGGCCAATTGATTTGATGCAATAATGCGCCGCAAACACGTGACTACAATTCATCGGTACCAAGGAACTTTTAACCATTTCGCTATCCATACATTTCCATTCATTCTCCGACGTGCATTGGTAGCAATCCAAGGCCATCGCTTGATTAATTAAAAAAGCAATGATTAAATTTCTAATCAAAACTACATGGCAGTTAATGTTACACAAGTTTCCCAATAAGATATCACAAAACATAACTATGAAGTGCCATTTAGATGTACATCCCTGAAGATGATCTGAATGATGAAAATGATTGATTAATAACAAAGCTTTTTTTTTGATTAGTAGATTTTTCATGATATGAAAAATGAACATGCTGAAATTTCATCTTTGCAAAATGACAATTAATGTTACATAAATTTTCCAATGATATGTTATAAACCAAATGATTATGAAGCATCATTTAGAATAATAATCAAATATACAGGGTATCTCAGGTTATAATGATCAAATCTTGTCGATATATTCTATGAACTTGAATAATAATGTTAATATAATCTGTATAATCTGTATAAACATAGATCATTTACAGCTTTGTTCAAAAGTTATGACAAAAATACAAAACATAAAGGAATATTAATTTTGATTACTGTGATATAATGTAGAAATAGATCAATCACCTATGTTTATATAACATTTCTTATTTACTACTCATAGAATATAGTGACAAAGTTTGGTCATTACATCCTATGTATTAAGAAAAACGGTTTTTTCAATCTGTTTGAATATTTTCTGAAATATGAAAGTGTGTTCCAGCATGTTGAAAAGATGTCTGAAAAGAATTTCATGCAGTCACCAGTATGCTCGATTAATCTGTGAAGAAAATGCAATTGCCAGAAAGGTTAATCAAAGTTTTCTTGCATCGCTACTATTAAGTCTCCCAAGCAAAGGCTGTGTAAAATAAAATATCTGTTGCTTGTTTACCCTCAAAACGACCTATGTGTTTGACACAATACTGTGCTCCATAAACATCGTCACACGACTCTGGATGGAGATCTATGTCACTTGACAAGAATTCATTGCATTGAAACGGATACTCGCTGCTGGTGCTATTACATTGGTAACACCGAATGCTCTGTCCTGGTTAAGAATATCATTCTATCAAATTATATACGAAGAAAAAAAACAGATGAGACATCGTTCTGATCTTGTGGCTCTTCATCAAATGGAGAACGAAATGCTAATCAGATTCAAAATAAAAAAGGGGAGACACACTAATCTTCTAAGTATCAATTTTCCCAAACATAAAGCCTTGTATATAAAAAAATTGTTTACTCTACACATATGTGTATTTAAATTGTTTAAACATTTCTCGTGTCGTACAGAAATGCCAATAAATTTTCGTCCTGAAATTTAACACAAATTGTGGCTTCTCGAAGCGGATTCGAGACTTTTTTCATTTCTGAGGAAAGACGCATTTTCCGTCTTCGACAAGAACGGTTCTTTTATGATTTATGACTTTCCTCAAATCTGAAGTAAGACGAAGAGAGGGTGGTACGCCCCGCCCAAAGAGCGATGTTATGTTAACCTCACCTGTCTCCACCAGCAATAACAACACCGCCAGAAACATACACGACGTAGCGACGTAGCAACTTGCGGCAGACATTCCGCAGTTTTGCGCGATCCTTGAACCAGATCCCGAGCTCTTTCTTTTCGTCTCGACGATTCCCGTCTATTTCCTCATCAAATATGAATCGTCACGACGCTGAACGCCAAACGCGATTGAATATGACGCACGACGCGCACAACCCGTTTCCCGCGATTCAGGATTGCGCATGCGCGTCGCATACAATTAGAATTTTACGATCAAATATTTAACTAAATAATGAAGAGGCTGAATGTTTGAATAAATAACGACGATTCCTTTGAAATTTTTCCTTCATAAAGTTTCTTTTTTCTTCTCTTTTTTTTATTTAGTCCACGTCACTTTTGTCAGCAGCCTGTGTGTCATAATCATTGATAGGAATGGGTAAGTTAA